TGTTAGGGATAACATTGTTTACCCTAACTGGTTTGGGTAAAAATAATAAATAAGTTATCATGGTTTGTTGGTTAAAGTGTGTGTAACTTTAACTACAAGAATGTAATTAAGGGTGTGGTTGTAAAAGCACCATAAAAGAAGCAAGTCAATTGCAGCTCTCTCTCTCTCTGGCTTAATGATCCCTAATTACTGGATGGATTGATGACTGCGTTTTTCCTTACTGGAACAGAGGAGAGAAAGGAGTGTTGATTTCTCAACGGAGAGAAGAGATAATACGGACTGATTTATTGTAAGTGAACTGACATTGGCTATTCAACACGGACTTTGCAAATTGAGTATCCCCGACTGGACTGACTGAAATGATACATGACTAATGGACCGTTTATTTTGACTATGCTATAATTCCTAATGGAATAAACTATATTTTTGATAGCACAAGCGTATCTGTTTTTTACTGCGTGTTAACTAAAATACAAACTTATCTCACACATTTACCTGTCTGCCTATCTGACTACGCTACACATTCTTTTTAGTTTGTTTTCCTTAACACTCGTTGGGGAATTCAGGCTTAACAACCCTGATCTAGGATCTCTATGTAGCCACAAGTGAATTAAGTCCAACTTTCCCCCTCCCAAATTCGGTTCACCTTTATCTAATTCGAAACACATGTTAATCATTAGATGAGAAGATTCCTGTGCACAAATAGGCTTTTTAGCAATAAATCAGTTTAATTGGACCTTCAGGTGTGGACCTGGTCTTTCATACCTGACAAGCAATATCTGAAAGGTAGAAGGTGGCTTGCTCTAATACAGGCCGGGGGAGAAAGGCAATTACCCTATTTTCAGAGAAAAGAAGACTAAATATTAGCTGCTGCCTGAAATTGGGACAGAATTTATCAGATAAGTCTAATCAAAACATCTAAACATGGAATCTCTACCATATTAGGAGTGAATAGTAATATGGCTGCACAAAATTGACTGTTACCCAGAGATCAGTCAAACTAGTGCATACAGGTAACTTAAGGTAAGAAACAAAAACTGAAAGATCTTTACTTAAGTCACAGATCAATAAAAAGACAAACTTACTGTTTTCCTGAACTCTGGCCACAAATCCCATTAATGGTAACTGAGGAGTTACTTGTAGGATGGAGGGAGGAGGTGGTGCAAGAGACACTGCAGAGAAGAAATACAAATAAATAGACTCCAATCAGAAATATAGTATAGAAACATGAAATAACTGGATAGACAATGTGGCATCTTACTAAATGCAATGGAGTGACTGGATAATTAAAAACTAGGTAATATTAATTGTGCAGAACATTGAAAATGGATAATCAGCTTTTTAAAGAATTTTTTAAAAGAATTCTTGGAAACATCTACAGTATCTACAGAATAATATTCCTGAAACAGCCCTATTCAAATCATACTTATTTTATTACAGCAAATAAAATGTTGCACAATATTATTGTGGCAAATGGAAATATTGCTACACTATTAATGCTGCTAAGAGAAAATGTTTATTCTTCCATATTTATCAATTTGATATAATATGGACACTTGACCCATTTCCGCTTAATCAAAATTAATTTAGGTCTGAGCATTTAAAGAGTGTGACTATGTGGCTAAGTCCTGAATTGCATTTACTAAAATACTTATATTTTTGTAAGTTTACAATCAATGGAAGCAAGAACTTTAAATAATTATTTTCTTCTGATTAGATAAATTGAATTGGGATTACATCACTATTATTATACATTATTTGGTACCTTCCATGATATCTCAACAAAGGAATAACAAATGTCAACAATTTATCTCCCAACAGTTTATTTTACAAAGTATTCTACCAAATAGAATAGAGAAAATAAGTTTTTGCAGAAGAAAAACTGTCCAAACCTAAGCAATTTACTTCACATTTTTAAAAAATACCTGCAAGTTTTGGGAAAGGGGGAAATATATGTGTCTGAACATAACATGTATATACTTGTATATCAATAGCACTTAAGACTTATAAACTGCTTCACAGTGCTTTACAGCCCTCTCTAAGCAGTTTACAGAGTCAGCATATTGCCCCCAACAATCTGGGTCCTCATTTTACCAACCTCAGAAGGATGGAAGTTTGAGTCAACCTTGAGCTGGTGAGGATCAAGCCCCTGGCAGTCAGCAGAATTAGCCTGCAACACTGCATTCCAGCCATTGCGCCACCACAGCTCTAATGTACCTTTCTATTCACACTTAAAACAAGTGAACTAGGTGTTCTTGGATTTGATGTTTCCATTACCAATTCCTTACTGTAAACAAACATACCAGAAAATTTAAAACCAGGACTTAGTTATGTGCTATGATATATAGAAGGTTCTTGCTAAACACATCTAGCTACTTCTGGTTAAAATTCTTCTATCAAAACTGGGAATTCTGCAGGGGCCTATCTTACCTGGATTCTGGCTATAAAACGGTCCTCCGTTGACCTGGCTTTGAAGGCTGTTCTGTGAAGTGATGGATGGAGGGCGCCTATATGGCAAAGAGCCCCCTATTGTTGGAGGTGTGTGCCGAGTAGCAGGTCTGTTCATGCTGTAGAACTGAACAGGATGACCTATTTCGACAGGTTAGAAAAAAATATAAAACCTTAAACAATCCATTTTTAGATGAAGTGATTCAACTTAGGCATGGCAATTCAAATTAAGTGAAACACGTTTCAGTCAAGTTCTCTAATGGAAAAAAATCCTACGTGGATGAGATCAAACAAATTTAAGAAGAAAACATTCTTAGATATTATTCTCTTGACTCTTAAAAAACTTGGCCAAATATAAAAGTAGATAACTTGATTATCCGGAAGTCAGCATTCCAATATAATACATGCATAATGTGCAAGTTAATTACTTAATAACCAGCATATGTGAATGAATTAATATGAAATGAATATCTACATTCTCTACTCTTTCAGCCACAGTGCTTCTCAGTGAAAATGTAGAGAGTCAGAATGCAGAAGAATCTCATGCTCAAGTACCATATGAATGGGTTTCACTAATTACAGAATGTTGAATTTCTCATGCCTGGATTTTCCCCAGTTGTTTTTGCATGCATTCGCATGCACAGCTCTTTCGCAGAAGTACAGGCCAGTCTGTTGCGATGCTTTGCCCAAATGTTCCTTTGAATAGTTCCCACAATCTTGTTATTGACCAGCTTGAGGTCACTTGGCTCAACATTTCAAAGGCAGGACCAAGGTCAAATCAAGGGCAATGGGTTGATACTGGTGGTCTCAGGATCACTGGTGGCTCCTGGGAATCGTAAATATTCTGGTTGATTTGCCAAAAATAATTTTTAAAAATGGCAAAACATTGCCAACTGTAAAACTATTGGTGTTCAGCATTGCCATCTCAAATCTTGTGAGAGATTTGATCTTAATCATTTTCAGCTTTTTTAATATATGTAATCATAATGAGCAGTTGTTAGAACAGTGAACAGAACAAATATAAAGTGCTCTGATGCAGAATGAGAGCTAGTTTGGTATAGTGCACCAGGCTAGAAACTGGGAGACCCTGTATGGTAGTCCTGCATTAGAACAAAGCCAGCAGGGCATTTTTGGGCTAGTCACCCTAGAAGGAGGCAATGGCAAATCACTTCTGAAATGTTACCAAGAAAACATCAGGGATTGGAGACCAGGCCAGTCTCCAAAAATCAGACACGACTGAATGGAAGGGGAAAAAATCCTTAAGTTCTATGCACCAATGATAAAACTTTCTAAGAGCTATAATTTGAAACATATAAATTTCACATAGCTAAATAGTGCTTTAGTACATATAGAAGGCTTATTTTCACTTCAAACCTATGTACTACTTATGTAGGAATAAAATAAACCAAGTTGATATCAGAAGCTGTATGATATGAAGTTAAGAAATAAAACTGTAGATAAATTTAACAGCATGAACATATCCCAGAGTTTCCTATTCATAGAATTAATCTAGCAAAATGCATCTTGGTTAATTGCAGCTTCCATCTTTCTAATTTTCTCCAGAAAATCAGAAAAACAAAACCCATTAGCTCCAAAATGAATCATCTTTATTCTCATATGGTTCTAAGGAAAAAGATGTGTCAGAAATGTAAAAGCACCCACATTACTACGAAAGTTCCACCTAAAATACCCTCACAAACCACCCTAAACTGCAAACATAACGCATGATTTTTGTTTTTTCCAGGTAGACCTATCTGTTTTTAAGGAGGGCAGGATGTCAGATCCGTGTATTTCTTCAATGGAAGAAGAAGGGGGGGGGGGACTGATAAAGAAATCCTTCTTGATGTAACCTGAATATATTTAATCTTATATTGAATCTGTATAACCTACACATGATACAATGGAGAGATGAAACCCAGATGGCTGGAACCTATCACCTCTGAGAGAGACAGCCAGGAGATGAAGAGACCATAAAAATTCCACAGTGAGATGTGTCCTGGGAAACTCTGAAAAAGATCATTCTAAAAAGGGGGTGGGGGGGAATTAACATGTTGGCTCTAAATACCAGTTGTGGTATTTACCACAACCAAATATTTAGTTGTGTCACTAAATACACATCAAGATAAGGGGAGGGGTTTTAAACTCCCTTATCTATCTCTGCATGCCTCAGAGACTTTAGACACTGCTTTTAACCCCTACATGAATTGTCTCATCTCAATAAAGGATTCCTTTATGATAGGTTTTGATACGTTTTCAGAAGTTCATTCTGGTTGATTGAATGGGAAAAGTTCTGTAGCCTGACATAAAGCAGCGTCTGCAATAGAGATCAGCCCAGAGAGGAAAAAAAAATTTTTTTTAAAAAAAACCTTAACTCTACCAAGGGGACCCTGCAAGAAAGTAAAATGTCTAAGTACAGCAAGGACCAAGGGGGTGCCGAATGCTGGGGAGAAACGTTGACAGTTACCAATCCAGATACTGACTCAGTGCACCCCATTGAAGATAGCGAAGCTGCCTACGAAACCTCCACAAAGCCCCGGTGGTCTATAGGTGTAGAAAAGAGAGACAGCAGGGATGGAAGAACCAGGGGAGTAACCCTCACCCGGGGCAATCGTAAACCCAGATGGAAATTGGAGCTGGAGGCCCTATCAGATCAGGAAGGATGGGGTGAGGAGCCACTGGCTGACGACCGACTGAGACGGTATATAAATTGCCTCATGAGGGAAGCCTTGGAGAACCTCGAGGTGAGGGATGCACCAGGACGCCAACGCAGGAGAGCGAGGGAACCAGAAAAAGAGACAACCCGAGCCGCCACCCCGGAATCAGCTGAGAATGATCGGGCAGTGGGACAAGCTGAAGAACCAGTAGCCATACCAGGTACCCGACCCCTAAATGCCCCAGAACAAGGGATTAAACCTGGCCAACCCAGAGACATACAACTGCAGAGGAAGGTCCCACCCCCCTAGGAGTAAAATTCGATGGGGACCCCCAGAAACTGGGATTTTTCCTGGTGCAAGTGCTCACCTACATGCAAGAATATGGGCGGGATTTCCCAATCCAGGGATCCAGAGTATGAGTCGTCACCCTAGCCCTGGAAGGGGCAGCAGCTAGATGGATGGTGACGCTCCACAACTTCAATGCCCCAGAATTAAGGAACCTCGACCGTTTCATGATGGCCCTACACCACCGTTTCGAAGACCCTCTCACCAATAGAAGAGCCTGTGACCACATTAGAGTCGTAAAGCAAGGCCGTCGCCCAGTAGCCGAGTACACTGAGGAATTTTGTGACCTGGCTGGCCGAGTCGACTGGCCAGAGGATATCCTAGTCTGTTGGTTCAAAGATGGACTAAATGACGACCTATATGCTGCCTGCCTGGCCCGTGGGACCCCAAACCTCCTGCATGAATGGTACATGATGGCAGAGGAGGCAGAGATAGACATGACTCGAAACCGGGACCGCAAGTGGCAAGTTTTGGAAAAGATCCCCACCCCTGGGGAAACAGGAAATTTTCAAACCCCAAACCACCATGACTCCAAGAACGTCTGGTTGCTTTTAAGTGTGGAAAGGAGGGACACCGTGCAGCAGAATGCCATTCGAAAACCCCTGCCAGAAAGCCACACCACCCATCGGGGGGAAACCTGGAACATTCAGCCCTCGAGGAGACTGGCCTGAGAGGCCGATTAGCTGTGGGATTCTGATTCCCCCCAACCCAGAGGAAGAACGCCCAACATTCTGAGGGGACCTGAGCCAGTCCGAAAGCGATCCAGAAGACGACCCGCTGATAAGCAACCCAATTGAACCAATCACTCTACCCCTAAGACTGTTTATCCCCAGCCGAAGGAAGGGGGAGGAAGTTGCAGCGTTGCTGGATTTGGGATGCACCCGATGCCTAATAAATCCCTCCCTTGCCGAGAAATTGGGGATCCAACTGAAAGAAATGGAAAATCCCATCGCTTTCTGCCAATTAGATGGAACTATAGCGGGGGGAGCCAGCTAGGTTTACCACAGAACTATTGAAAATAAGACTAGGAAAACCATAATGAGATGCTCACATTCATTGTAGCCCCAGGAATGGAAGAGCCGCTAGTCCTAGGTCTCACATGGCTGCAGAAATGGAATCCAAAAATAAATTGGGGGAGAGGAACTGTACAATTCCAGAGAGACGTAGTATTTGCAAATAGCTCAGATGAAAGGATAAAGAAAGGAACAGAGAACAGAGAGTCAGCCATGACCGGACAGTCAGCTGAACCCATTAACATCCCCAGGATCTGGCCCAAGTATTTAGCGAGGAAGCTTGTGATGAACTCCCACCCCATCGTGCCACAGACTGCACTATTGAAATCCTACCAGGGGTTAAACTCCCAAAACCACAAATGTACTGCATGTCTCCCAGAGAACTGAAAGAACTCAGAGCATTTATCACAAAAATTTAAAAAGGGTTTCATCGAACCCGCCTGACCAAAAATAGCTGCCCCAGTGTTATTCCACAAAAAGAAAAATGGCTCAGTACGCTTGTGTGTTAATTACAAAATATTAAACACAATTTGCATAGAGAATATGTATCCACTCACCCTCATGAAGGATGTTAGCCCACCTCTCAAAAGGAAAAAAAAATTCAAAGTTAGACCTATGAGAGGCATATTACCGCATCAGAATAAAGGAAGGGGATGAGTGGAAGACAGCTTTTAACACACCGTTGGGATGCTACCAATTTAAAGTGCTCCCCTTTGGACTGCAAGGAGCGCCTGCCGTGTTTATGCAATTGATCAATGAAACCCTTCATGAATTTTTATATAAAGGGGTTCTAGTGTATCTGATATTTTAATCTACACAGAAACGATGGAAGAACACATCAAGCTACTCCGTGCACTCCTCACAAAACTCTTTAGACACTAAACTATATGCAAAACTCTCTAGGTGCGAATTCCATCAAGAAAAAATTGACTATTTGGGTTATAGAATATCCCACGAGGGAATAGAAATGGACCCACAGAAAGTAAAAGCTGTACTGGACTGGGACCCACCGCACACCCGCAAACAACTGCAAAGCTTCCTGGGGTTTGTGAACTTTTATCGCCAATTCATTCCAGCTTTTGCAAACATCGCCCTCCTTATCACGAACTTGCTAAAAACGAAGGGAGGG